TTTCAACTGATCACACGTGAAATGCAGAAATATCGCCAGCTTAAAGAGACTTTACGCTCTAACTTCGCGCAAATACAAACAAATCCAATCCAGCCAGATATTGAAAAAATAAGAAACCAGGTTCGGGACCAGGTTCGGGAAGAATATAGAAAAAAACTTGCGGATTAAACAGCAGATTTAAACTAAATTTTGAGCGAAAAAACACAAAACTTTCTCTTAGTCTTATCAAAAACAGGTGATTATGTTACACCGCGTTACCTTCACGCGTGACGTTGCGTGACTGGGTAACGTTACTGTCACGCGTGACGTTGCGTGAAAGGTCACACAAAAAAGCAAAAACCCTGTCGGGGGGGTGCTCGTAGGCTGTTCTTTTGCCTAGCCCCGGCTAGGAGTTTTCGCGCCGCTGACAAGGCGGCTGTCCCGTTTTACCTCCGGACGAGGTTTGAGATCCCGAGGGACCTCTGAGCACCCCCAAGTCAACACTGGGCCGGGGCGGGTCCACCCGGGTTGTCACCGTGGATGTTCTCACCCCATACCCCTGACAAGCGCCTGTACGTGCCGTATTAAGAATCAGGGGGGGCCAACCTTACATCCAAAAGCACCATCATTTGCTCGCTGATATATAGTAAAATTACTCAAGCTATATACAATGATCCAGTCGCCTCCCCTTTCACTTGTGGTGTGCTTCTCTGTCCTTCACAGGTTTTCACACATACGCATGCGCTTTTGGGTGGCGAGATGATGTAATGCGCTTTTGGGTGGCCAGATGATGTCATGCTTGAGCTATATTTAGAGCTTGGCTGAATAAATTATATCCCAACAACAGTTCTGAAGGCCAAAATGATTGTGCTGTTCCACGCTATTTGCTTTATTTTCACGGAACTTTCTACGCCCGTTTGGCAGAAAGAGGTCAGACAGATAACATATCAAGTCGTTGAAGCCATGCGAGAAGCAGAGGAAACTTAAACAGGCTCGATCGAGGCCCTTGTTCAAGAATATTTCATGTTACGAGCGATCGAACGCTGCGATCGAATCTTGCTATTTTCTCGTTTCCTCCCGATCGCTTCACTTCGGCAGCTTCTGTGGTGAAAAAATAACTTACAGCGCGTTGACTGAGCGTATTTTTTTGGTAAATTCTGTTCTGGTTCGATATTTTCGGCCCAAACAAAAAAATCTTGAGTTGTCCGCCATTTTTTTCAGCACTGCTCGTCCAAGGGGCCTTGGGGAATATTTGGTTCCCGTCTTTCTGAGAAAAAAAAATGTCACGCAACTCGTAGATTTCAAAATAAAACTTTGCTTCGAACGAAGGTTAGTCGCCGCCTTTTTCGCTAACGCTCCCGGCCAAAAAGGAACCACTCGTGGCAGTCATAACCGTTCCAGGAGCATACTTTTAAAGAATTCTTGTACTCTGGGCTGGCTTCTATTAACTCCATCGGCCGGCTTAGGGATGCTTTATGAAGATTTCCATCCCTTTCGAAACAGGGGAAACAACAACCCTCGAAAAAGCAGTCCGCATATTCAAAGCAAATAACCATCGGAACAATCTGCTGCTTGAATTCGCAGAAAGGCAGTTTTAAAATATTCTCGTGTACCTTGTCCCACCCCATTTTCTTTTTGTCCTTGATTTTTATCGCGATGTACTCCTTGAGAATCATCTCACGAAGCTCTGGAGGGAGATATTGGATTGCCTCGGAAAGTTGACAGTTGCTTGATTGTTCGACAGCCATGTCGGCGTATACACTGCGCATACACTTCTCCAATACGAAAATATTTCTGGCACATTTTTTGTATATAGTAGTGAAGGGCACATCCGCGCATATTGATTACGGACGTTGCAGCTTCGCTGGACCCGCTATTTCGCCCAATTTTACTGCTGTGCTGTTGCTTTACACACACATACATTTCTGGCACAGCACCCACACCACAGTTCTGGCACAGCACACACACGTAGTTCTGGCACAGCGCACACACGCAGTTCTGGCACAGCACATACACGCAGTTCTGGCACAGCACACACACATATATAGTGAGGGTTCTGGTCACAAGCGAACGCAACACAGTGCAAGCGTAACACAACCCCGAATCTACAGATGAGGGGTTGTGTTACGCTTGCACTGTGTTGCGTGAGTGCTGTGCCAGAACCCTCACTATATATGTGTGTCATATTCATGCTCAGTTGTAATAAGGTGTGGAAAAAATGACTGATCACCGCCCAACAGCCTTCACTGTTCCTTTAATAGTCATTAATTCTTGCACACCGGCATTCAACCTCTTACAACTCTCCCCAATCCTCAGTTCTCAAACATCTCTCATATATAACTTAAAACTTCTAAGTACAGTGAAACACACCTGTGCATTTTATAATTATAATCAGCGTGGATATGCAAATTCGAGGTTGTTTAGCAGGGCTGTCATAAAAACAAGACACGCGTGGCTGCGCGATAGGAATAGCCCGGGGTTAGGCCATTGTTCTTTACCGAATATCGGTCCCAGAATTATTTTTTATCTGACTAAATTAATTAAATATGTTGCCTTGGTGTACACAGTATAATGGCTGCTTCAAGATTTTCAGGTTCTATGGTTCAATTCCGGAAGAAAAAGACAAAAGACAAAAGAGTCCTCTAGAACCTGAGAGAGGCATGGATTTTGAATTGCTTAAAAATAATTTTTATGAATGGCTTCGTGTATGGAAAATGACTGTTCCAGAAGGTTATCCATACAAAGCAGATCTTGTGAAATTTGCGCAGAAAACAAAAGCAAGATTAACTGCTTTGATAAAAAAAAAAATGAAATCACCAGCTCGACGAGTATCAAAACACAATTTGGGCTTATTGTTAAGTTTTCAATCATCAAAAATAATGAAACACAATACATGGAACATTATTTAAAACGGAAGGATCTTGTAATTATTAACAGAAACAATAAAGCAATGATAAACGACGATTTCAACCGCTTCATTGATCAAGTGAAAGGTGAAATAGAGGCATGGTCGCAAAGAGGTTCAGGCTGGGCGATAGGAGGTGTTTTGGCTGCATTGGTTAATGTTGCTCGATACGAAACATTTCGTGGAGGAAGCTATTTTCCTCTCCCAAGAAAGTTGCAAAATAAGAAAGCAATAATTAATACAACATCCAAAACAGTGACAACCAGTGTCTGAGATGGGCGATTCGTGCTGCTCTTTTCCCAGCAGAAAAAGGAAAAAAGTAGAAAGACCTGGGAGTTACCCAACAGAAGATGATCTTAATTTTACGGGCATCGACTTCCCAACACCGGTTTCTAAAATTGACTAACTCGAGAAGCAAAATCCAAATATTGCAATCATTGTGTTTGGCTTGGAAAATTACCATATTGTTGTTCACCGAATCAGCTTAAAAGACGGCGCTAGTCATTTCCACGATTAAACTTGATGCTTATCCAAAAAGGTGAGAACACGCACTACAGCTATGTGAAAAGGCTTACCGCTCTCTTGTAGGATCACAACAGCCATAATGACATTGAGCATTTCTGCGAACGTTGTTTGCATGGATACCAAAGAATGGATCTACTTTAAAAGCACAAACCTGAATGCAAAGGGTTGTTGAAAAGACCTACAAGAACAGAGCTGCCAGAAGACTCTGGACATATGAGAATACTCAGGGAATGTCTGTCGTGTTTTATCACAGAGTAATACACGGCTTAGGCTTCTTTATAATTATTTGTTAAATATGAGATCATGTGAAAAGTTCCTCCCTGAATTGAAGCGCCTTGGAAAGGAATCAAGGGCCTCTGTGTTGTCGACTCGTGTACCGTTTTAGTTGTATTCAGAGTCAAAGCACTGGAAATACCTACTTGGTATTCCAATGGACCTGGCATTCCGGGATATCCACTCAGAATGTTGGAAATGTTTTTTTTTTGTCATCGCTCCGACAGAGTGCTGTAGTTGTTCAGACTTTGTACGTTCTTGTGCCCAGATATTTGCATGATGTGCGTTGGCGGTACTCCTTCATCATTCAGTTTCTGGATCACCCTTTTCCTTCCGCTATGATTGGTGAGATTTTCAGCATCTAACCCTGCTTTTTCTGCCATTGTTTTCATAAGTGACTTGTGGTTGTTAACTCCCATGGAGCTGACTTGAACCAAGGTTTTCTATTTACGGCTTTTGTAGTGTGATTGACTGCTAAATAAAACGGACTATCCGGAGTCTTCAGGTCATCTGGTCCTTTAGAGGCATAGAGGTCATAAGTCCGGACAGGATCTCTTTCACTGCCAACGACAGCATACATCTTTGGCTTTGCAGTCGGCGAGAGTCTTTTGGATCAGCGCCTGTTCGTGTCTTCGTCTGTCTTTTGTTATACTTTAGAAATGCTGTTTCGTCCGCTGTTTCTTTTCTTTCATCATCGCCCCATCTCATGTCCCTGTACTCTTGACAGCCCCTCAATCCAAAGAACTGTGTGTTGTTTAACCATATAATGCTAATACGATTTTTTGGTCCAAGGGCGGCAGCAGTCATTTTGAAAATTCTCCATCCTTCCAAAATAAAAAAAAATCAAGGACTTGGAGTGATGTCTTTCGAATAAATGAAAACTTCATTCAGCAACTGTCCGCCATGTTTACTTGCTGAGATGGCAAAGATGGCGAGCTTAGTAACCAAGCACTAGCGGGGTGAATAAAGCGTCATTTGATGAGCTTTTCGACCAATCAGAAGGTCCAATCCTTATATTCACCTCTGGAAATTATACTAACAGAGTAGAATTCTACTAGTACACTAATGCAAATGCTGTAATCTGATTGACTGAGCCATTGCAGACTATCAGCCATTAGTGTGCAGTGGCTGGAGGTCGTCTAGGAAATGACGACGTTTTTTCGTTTTTCGAGCGTTTTGGAGGAAAATTTTGATCAAATGAGAAATTAAATTCCTGAGAAGACTAAACGAAGGACAGTTACGGTTTCTTGACTTTGAAACCGAAAAGTTGAAATTATTGAAAAAAAAAAAAATTGATGCGCGCGCGTACACAACTTCAAGTTTAAATGACAATCCAATCCGAGCGATCTTTTCAAGGCGCAAAGTTTAATAATACGTCGAGAAATGATTGGAAACCGTCATTTGAAGTAAATTTTAGTAAGAATTCTAAAACAATTAGATTACTGGCGAGGCCATACTCTAATATCCCCGTAGGGTTTTGGCCCAGAGACCAAAACCCGAGGAGGCACCTTAGGATTCCCCGCGCGTATACATACAAGGAATTTCAAAAAAGTAAGAAATGTGTTGGTAGTATGCGAAACGTTCTCGATGTGATGAGACTAAACGCGCACGGTTGACTTGGGTAATGTGGGGCAAGGAACGCGGGCTCACAAAACGGCTGGAAATCGATTCTAGGTGGTGTCGGGTACATGTAACTCTTGATTTCAAGGTTCTTGCAACCACGTGTGTTGGCCTGCATGACGATTTTAGCGTGATCAAATAAATTCGCTTCGAAATGGCCGAGATTCTCGTCCAGGACAAAGTGAAAACGATTTCAAAGATCCTGAAGATCGATTTCGGGAGAAAAACAACTCAGAAGGTATCGTAAGAAATTCTGAAGTATACGTCTAGAAATTCGAGGCCATTGTGGTTCAATTGCAACTAATGCACCTATCAATATTAAGCCGCTCGGGGGGTGGGGGGAAGGGCGGGCATAGGCGGGGGTTTTGACGTAACAAGTCTGTCCGGGGTTGGGACTTTTGATCATTCGCCGAGTCCAGGGGGTCGGAACTTTTGACTTCAGCCGTTAGTAGACTGGGCCCTACCGACGCCACCTTGGAGGACCAAGAATGACTGGAAACAAACTGAGCAGAATTGGAAGTAAACAATGTTCCAGATTGCTGTCTGTGCATAAGATGCTCAGAAGTTTGGTGTTGAACTGAACATTGTTGCAGATATTCTCAGTAAACAAGACCTTTGTTACAGATCTTTGTTTTTCCTTAGTTAAAGGTTAACTCCATTGCTAAACATTATTGATTTGTATTTTGAAAGTTGTGTATGGAAACAAATTTCCGAATCCTACATAACGTAAGACTGTTTTTAATTTAAGCATTTAAGCTCAAATGAATTGAAATTATGAAACATTTTACAGGATAGTGTTCAGTATTCACCTTCATACATTCAATTTGCAATGTATGTTGTTTCTAAGCATGGTTATAATTTTAGTACTAAAACGAAATTGAATTATTGAACTTCATCTTTATGAGCCT